ACTCCTCCGCGTGGAGACAGGGCTGCTAAGTCACCCCGCTTCAGTTTGTGAGTGTCAGGTAATGGCTTTCAAATGGCAAGTTCCTCTTAAAATAAACATGCAATTTTAACCAGCGAAGCTGGTGCGCTCACCTGTAACCCCAGCAACTCGGGAGCCTGAATCAGGAAAACTGCAAGTTCCAGGCAACTTGGTGAGACCTTGTCTCAAAATAAAACTGTAGAGGGCTGGGATATGGCTCAGAGGTAAAGTGCTTGCCTGGAATGTAGGAAGCCCTGAATTCAACCCCCAGTTCCAAAAAAAGAAAAAAAATCCGTTTTAAAGTGAACATTTCAGGGAAAAATACTAAGAAGATAAAGTACCTTGCTGAAAAGCTATGGCAAAAACCACGATGGCTGCATGTGAGCGAGCCATGGTTAAGGAGGCAATATCTGCAGGTCTGTAAACCCGAGCCCAATTCCCAAGTTGGTGGATGACTCGCTGTTTCACCCTGGATGAGTTGCTTATCCTCTCTGAGCCTCTACACCTTCCCCACCTCACAAGGTCACCCATCCTCAGAGGAGACAGAGAAGTCAGAAGCAGGGATGGTGGGGCCGGGAGGACTTGTTCCCACTCTTAAGGAGGGCTACCCCTCTTTCAAGTGCGAGCTCCCCCCAGGGGAAAACATGGAGCCAAGGCAGGGCCCATTCACAAATCCTCGGGAGGCCTGCCATTCTCTACTCTGCCACTGCTGTGCTTGTCTGATGAGGCAAATTAGCCACCATTCAGCTGAGGCACCCTTAGAGATGCTAATTGCCCAATGCCCGTGCAACTCCACCCTCCCTGGAACAGGCTGCTGGCAGTCGTCCCCTGCCATTATTTCCTGATAACAGGGCTTGATCTGTCTACACCAGGCCCAAGCGCTCTAGTGTCCAGCCACCGGCCCGTGCGTGGAAGGCGGGCAGTCAACACTCCCTGGCAGAGCAGTCTGGTGCTGGCACACAGCTGCCAGGGCTGTGGACACATGTGCACCCCTACGCCTACCTGCTCAGCCCCAGGGAGGATTCGGGGTCCCCATGTGCATGGCACTCTGTGGACACCATAGGCACAGATCAGTGCAGTGCACTTGCAGGAAGGCCCCCGGAGTACTCCAAGAGCGACGGCAGAGCAATAAACGAGCTCTCTCATGGATGATTTTCCCCAGGGCTTTTATACATCGAGGCGTGGTTTATACAAACTAAAACATACAGGTTCCCAGTGTTGAGCGCCTTCGGATAAGTGGATGCCCCTGCGTAACCACCACCCCATTTAAGGTACAGAGCATTTCCATCACCTGGAGAGGTCCCTGGGGCCCTTCGCTGCCCCAGGGGCAGAGGCAACTGCTCTTCTGGTTCCTCTCCCTGCAGTTGAGTTTCGCCTCTTCCTGAAGCTCAGTGAACAGACTCGCTCAGATGTGTGCAGCACACATGCGCAGCCTCGCGCCTACACCCATGTGCACCGTTGCACAGTCAGACACCCTCAGGAGGGGGCATTCCAAACGGTAAGTCCCCTGGCCTCAGTTTGCATTGTGGGGACCTGTCCTCCCTGGGACAGGTGGCTAAGGGTGGTGGGGCGTCCCCTGGCCCCAGGTCCAGACTGCGGGAGGCTCCTTCCACTTCCCTTGAGCTCCCCTGCCTGGGTGACCTTTGGCAGGTATTAAGACCTCAGCCTTCTCCTCTCTGATGGGAGGCCTGATGAACGCCCTTCTCGTAACCTCCCAGCACTGAGTGCCGTGAAGGCTGTGCAAGTCCTAACCCACTCCGTCCTCCCAGCAACCCCAGGTCCAGGCACAGGTGTTACCCCTGAATGGGCAAGGAACCTGAGGCACAGAGAAGTCCAGCAGCATGTCCAAGCACACACAGTAAGAAGTGGCAGTGAGGATATGCCCCATTGCAGCTCGGCCTCCGTCCTGGTGAAGACTGGAGGTGGTCGCCTGCATTCCTGCCTGCAACACGGTAGGCGCTTACTAAATGTCAGAAGTGGTTACTTCCAGGAGCACTTAATCCCCGATGCATGGGTGCCTCAGAATAACCCATCTTACAGAGGAAGAGACCGAGCCCAGCCAGCTCAGCAGGGTTAGAACGGCTGTTATGAAAGAGACAACAACAAGTACTGGAGAAATGTAGGGAAAGGAGCCCTTGCGCACCACTGGGGACAGGAATCAGCACAGCCATTCCGGAAAACAGCGCAGGTCCCTCAAAAAATAAGAAATTAAGCTGCCCGTGATCCAGCAACCACACTCCGGGGCGCACCTCCAAAGGCAGTGAAGCCAGAGGCTGAGAGACGGTGGCACATCAGGTCTGCGCAGCACCATGCACACAGCCTCAGTGGCCACCCATGAAGGAACCACCAACGGACGCTTGGTCCAGAGCACAGTGGAATACTGTCCAGTCCTGAAGAAGATTGGAATCCTGCCATTTGTGACACCATGGATGACCCTGGGCACACTAAGTGAAACAATCCAGGCACAGAAAGAGACACGGCACAGTGTCACTCTATGTGAAACCTACAAGTGTTCTCCTAGGAGCAGAGAGCAGAAGTGTGGCCACCAGAGACCGGGGAGGGGTGCGGAGAGGTGGGTTGTGGGTACAAAGTTCCAGTGGGGTGGGAGGATCAGGCTCAAGTGGCCACGGCACAGCGGGGTGATTAGTTCACAAAATATATTGTGTATTTCAAAAGAGCTAGGAGAGAGGATTTTGAGTGTTCTCATCTCAGAGAAATGGTGTTTGGGGTGACGGATATGCTGGTCACCCCGATTGAGCCAGTACGCAGTGCACGCGTGTACCGGAGCACCACCATTACCCTTTCCTGTGCGCAACTGTTATGTCTCAAATGACACTTCAAAAATGAATTTTAAAAATGTCAGCGGTGAGAGCTCCAGATCTTCTGATTCCAGATCCCGTCTTTGCATCCTCCACCGGGACGTTCTATTCCACGAGGCAGGAACTTGGTCTCTTTTGTTGACAGTCATGTCCCAGAACCCTGACGAGTGCCCCACGCCTTGGCATTCAGTGTTTCCCCCAGTGAATAGGTCGGAGGGAGCTGGGAGGAACCACTCTGCCCAGCTCCCCCTTTACAGCTGGGGGTCCTAAGCCCTAGAGGGGGTGTGACATGCCCAAGGTCACAGGGCACCTTGGCGCTGGCGAGCCTGTGACTTTCTCCCCTGCCTGCTCACCTCTCCCCCTCCTGACAGGAGCAGCCAAAAGGTTCGGGAGCCCTGGGGCCATGTTAATGGGCAGCTGGCACCAAGCCACTCGACTTCATAAAGCCATCCAGGGCCGGCAGAGGCTGCCAAGCCAAACCTCAGAAAAGCCGGTGGAGGGACAGGAGGCCCAACCTGCCAGGGCTCCTGCGGGGCTGCAGCCGGGAGGGAGGCTTCCTGGCAGCCGGCAGTGGGGGAGGCCCGGCCAGCCCTTAAAAGCCCTTCACGAACAAACACTTGGAACGCAGCCCCTCTGGCCTGTGTCCCCACCATGTCAGCAGAAGCAGCAAAACCTCCAACAGGGACCGTGGATAGGGGCCTGGGGTCTGTGCTCCTGGGTGTGGGGTCAATGAGAGCCCGCGCGATGGTGACATGGGGAGTGTCCCCCCAGCCCGAGGGCCACCCTTAGTTGTCAGGTCCAGCACTGGGACACAGATGTCAGTTGGAAACACTGCTCCCCTCCCTTGATGACTGGCAGGTGGCCCCTGGGCAGAGGCTGGGACAGGAGGGTTTCTGTCATTGAGAATGTGCCTTTAGGAGAGAGAGGGAGGGAAGCAGGCGGGCAGGGCAGGGTCGGCCAGGGCGCAGGCTTGCTGCAGTCTGGTCTCCTGCTGGACCCTGGGAGCTCTGGGAACCACTGTGCACAGTGGAGCATTTGGGAAGTAAGAGGGTCAGTGTCCTCCCCTGGCTCGGCAATCGCTGGCTGGTGGCCGTCTGGGGAGAGGAGAGGAGGGCTGCTGCAGACAGTGTGGGCAGGCAGGTCCCAGGGGCCCAGGGCAGTTGTGGGGGCAGTTGGGGGCTCTCAGCAGCCGACTCAGAGCAGCCAGGGTGTGGCGGCACCAGCTGTGAGCAGGGTGCGGACCAGGCACCTCCAGTGTCCACCCCACAGGCACCTCCTTCCTGTGCAAATTCAATGCTGCCTCCCCAGGCCGGAGCCAGCCTCGGAGGAAAGGGGAAGGCCTGCCACCTCCCTCGTGCAGGCCACTGCACCTGGCATTCAGTGCAAAAGCCACTGTTTGCACACCTGGCTGGCCCCACGCGAGCTGTGCCTCTGAGATCTGCAGAGTCTAGACTGTGCAAGACCCAAGGGGAGACCTTCAGAACAGGTTTCCTAGGCTGACAGGCCCGCTGGGGGCCTCTGATGGAGGACAGGACGCGCTGGCTGGAGGACGGAGCTGGGCAGGTGAGGTTACAAGGGGAAGAGAGGCATGGTGGCCTCGAGGGGCCTCACCTACCTGAGACACAGAGGATGGGGAAGGAGGCATGACAGGCCAGGGGACCAGACAAGGCAGAGGGTCCTGGGGAGGTAAGGCCTGGCCTGCAGCCCCCATCCCGGCTACAAGAGGCGCTGGAGACTCAGCCCCGCAGGGCCAGAGAGGAACACTCTTCAACTTCACCCCGGCCAGCTCCACCCCCCGCCTGGGCACAGCACTCTACAGTGAGCAGACCACTAGCTCAGCACTGTGAGGTGGTGAGTCAGAGCCTGAAGGCCACACAGCCTGCACTCATTAGGAGATGTTGACTAAGCACCTACTACGTGCCAGCCCTTAATCCCAGTGCCGGAAGACTTCCAGAAACGAGCAGAACCCCGTCTCTCAGAGCACAGGTTCTGGGGGGGCCGGGTGGGTGGGGTAGGAGCTCAACGTTGCCATGGGACAGAGTAATCCAGCAGGGAGGGGATGAGGTGGAAGCAGCCGGTGACAGAACAAGGCGTGCAGATGACAACAGGACCAGCCTCTGTAGAGGCCAGAGGTAGGTTTGTGATGGGAGGTGGGGAGACCTGGTCAGAGAGGACGGGGGGCGGGACCAACTGCAGGGCCTCGTGGACACTGTATGGATTTTGCTTTAGCAATGCGTGAAGTGGGGGAAAGGACTCAGGGGGGACAACTGTGCAAGCAGGTGGCAACGAGGACAGGACTGTGACAGTCCAGGGCAGTGAGGGCAGCAGCTGGGTCTGCAGTGGGGCTTCTCAACTTGGCCCTGGCGACAATTTTAAAATTGGGGCTGGAACACGCTTTGTTGTGGGGCTGGCCTCACTAGTGCCTGGAGGACGTCTGCCCACCAGTTGCAGTAGCACCCTCGCCTCTGTCGTGACAACCAAAACTGTCTCCAGGCATTGCCAAATGTCCCCTGGGGGCAAAATCACCCCCGGGTGACAATTCTGGCCTGGCACAGGGATCAGCCAACTACGGCTCCCAGGACAAATGCAGCCGCCACCTGTTTGCCCAAAATGCAAGCCGAGAACAGATTTCACGGTTTCAGATGGTCCCACTTTCAGGGATTATGTAAGTCCCTCCGCGGGAGCCTCGGTTTGCCTCTGGGCAGCAAACTTAGATTGTTTACTCTCTGGCTCTTTAAGAAAGAGCCGTCCAACTCCTGGTCGGGGTGTTAATGGGGCGATGAGAGGAGGAGGGAGGCGGGGAGGCCTTGCAGGCAGGGCGCAGGGTTGGCACGGCGAGTGGGGCTGGAGCGAGCACGGCTCTGAGTTTTGACCTCTGCTCCCCCTGGAGATGCTGAACGGGGGCACTGGGTAGCACGGGCTTGCAGTGGGCAGACCAGCTTATTTGGACATGTCAGGTTTGAGGAGCGTCAGTCACGTGGACAGTCAGGGCAAGATCACCCAGTTCGGAGCTGCAGGCTCAGCTCTGTCTTGGGCAAAGGACTTGGCCTCTCTGGGCCTCACTGTCCCCACCTGCTGAAAGGCATCGGCTGGGAGGTCCCTGGAGCAGGGGGTTTGTGGTGAACCCCAAGGCACAGGCAGCCTGCTTGCACTGCCTCCTGAGGACGCCTCCATCAGGAGGGACTGAGGTCTGCGTCAGGAAGGCAGGTGGGGACTTCGACTCTGGGGTCTTGGGGGGAGGTGGCCATCTGAACTGCCCGGGGCTTGAGAGGCCCTGACCCAGGGCTGGGGAGCCTGGTTAGGAAGACTGTGGCTGTCCCCCTGCAGGAGACTCACAGGTCCCCTGCTGGAGATCACACAGCCCGGCTATGGGGAAACCAATGGGGAGCCCGAGAGGACTGAATCCACACAGCTGGCTCAGGTGACCGAGGCTGGCTGAGCTGGGGAGGGACAGGTGAGTGGAATTTCAATGCAGGACTCTAACCCGTCTGGACTTGGAGATGGACGAGTTTCCTTCCAACTCATGAGTGTTAAGCCACCCTCCCCAGGCCCTGTTCAGCTGATTCCTTGGAGGAATCTGTGACACCCCTGCTCTCTGTGACACCCCTGACCTCCCAAGGAGCCTCAGCCTCCTAGTTGGCCTGTCCTGCAGCTCCGTGGGCTCGCTGAGGCCCTGCGTGTGTCCACGTGAGACGCGTCTGAGGCTCTGAAGTCTGGATTGTCAATCTCGGCCACACGGTGGAATCACTTGGGAGCTTCGCAAAGCACCAGACCCTGGGTCCAGCCCCAGAGATTGGGATTTAATGGGTCTGAGGAGTTCCAAAGCTCCTCAGTGATGCTCGCCTGCCCCTCAGCTGGTAGGTGACCTGGGGATGCAACGTTGACTGGGAGCCAGAAGGTGCCATCCCCTCCAGTCCTCCAGGGGCAGTCCCAGGATGAGGCTAATGGGTCTTTGACCCAAAGAGGGCAGGTGTCAGGCCCCATGGCCCCGCTGGAATTTCACAGCAGGATTTATGGGAACCGGTACCAATTCTTTGTGACATCAGATTTCCTTTTGAAACAGCTTGATTTCACTAAGATAAAGGAATTAATTTAAAGACGAGCATTACCCATATCCTATTTTGGGGATTTATTGGACCTAACGGTGGCCTGAGCCCAAGCGGGTCCCCTAGCTCTTGTCCTCCTCTGGCCACCGGTGATCATAGGACCCAGGTGTGTCAGACAGGAGCCAACCTGGGGTTTGTGCTGGAAGAGCTGAGAGAGGTTCCCTCCCTGGCCTTCATGTGGGGGGAGGGAGTCTGGAGGCAGGTCTTGGAGGAGGTCAGACCTGTCTGTCCCTGGCCCCAGGGGGAAGGACGGCCCTGGGTTTGACCCACACACCCACAAGCAAAATGGCACAGCTTCCAACTAAACCACGGTTCTGGTGACTTCTCTGGGATCCGGCATCTAAAATCTCCCTCAGGAGTTCTCCTTCCTAGGTTTAGAGGCTGCGTATGGGAAGTGTGCTTGGGTAAAATTCTAGAGAACCCACAAAGCAGCCCAAGTGGGGGCCTTCGCACAGCTGCAGGGGCCACCAGCACAGAGGCCAGAGGGGGCACCTGGCCGTGGGAAGGGACTTGGTGCCCAGGGGTGGGAGTGGGCTCAACAGTAGAGCACAGACGTGCCCAGCAGGCTCCCGCGTTCCCTCCCAGCACTGCCAGCAGAGAAAGGAGGAAGGAAAAAGAAAGAACTTGGCGCCAGGTCCTTTCAGAGGATGAAGACCCCCTGGCTGGAGTGGCGGCTGGGCATTCCCGCCGGCTCACCACTCGCCATCCCGAGGGGCGCCATATTGGCCAACTTCGACCAACCTCCGAATTCAGTCATCTGTGCACTCACTCGACAAGGTCTCGGGGTAGATGAGGGGTAGGCAGTGCTGGGCGCAGAGAGGCAGGGGTACCCGGGACCAAACCCCAGTCCTGGGCGCTCCCAGCGCAGAGGGAGGGGCAGGCAGAGATCAGGTCACAGTGGGACAGAGGCCAGCAAGAGAGGTGGCCTAGAGGGGCACACAGAAGCCGGACAACCCATATCTGGGGGATTGGAGCTTTTTGGAGGTTGGGAAGGCTTCTGGGAGAAGGTGGCATTGGATCTGGATGCTCCAGGACAGGGAGGCAAACACGTGGGTGGAGAAGAGAGGAAAAGCATATGCCAAAGCCCAGGGCAGGGAAACTGGTACGTGTGAGATCAGTGGGGCCAGAACCCGAGCCAGGAGCAGGAGGCGGGAGGTGAGCAGGGAGGTGAGAGCCGCCTCAGTCTCCCAAGGACTTGGAGCACCAGCCACCGGGGCAAACCAAAGGAGAGCGTCCATTCCCCCCCCCTGCTGCCTTGTGCCATGAGGATATGGAAAAATCCACTGCCCTGGTTTTTGCAGTTTCAAAAATACAAAACATCCATACGATTGAGGTTGTTTCAAAAGGCACTTCTCTTGTGAGGAACCCCCAGTTCAGGGAAGATAATCCAAAGTGACGAACCTAGGAATCCAAAATCAGAACCAAGAACATCTCATGATAAATTCTCAGGAAACAGACCAGCGCCATCATGCAGGGAATGGATGGCATCTATTCAGGGAAGTCAGGGGAGTGGTGGTTAGGCAGAGCCCTAAAGGATGAGTAAGAGATGTCACAGAGGCCAGGCCAGTGGCTACAAGGTGTTCTAGCCAGCCAGGCCACATGAGCAAAGGCCCTGGGGTACAACCCAGAGCAGCCTGCCAAGGGCCTGAGAGAATTTCCAGTGTAGCTAAGAGAACGAAAGGCAGAAGTGAGATGTGAATGGAGGACGGAGAGGAGGTGCTGGTTCTTACAGGACCTTGTTGGCCAGAGAAGGATCTTGGAAGTTCTCCTGAGAGCAGCAAGAAGCCACCGCGGGGTTCCTGCCTCTGTTCTGTTGTGTTCCCTCACCCCCAAGATGTCTGTATGGAATCAGAGATGGACTCCGAAATGACCTGGAGCTGGGAATAGGAAGACCCCTGCAGAGGGGAGCCAGCCATTCCTGAAACAAGAACCTAGCAGCACCCACTGTGTGCTCGGCTCGGCTCTGGACGCCGGGGAGGCAGCGCACAGCCTGACGGAGCCCCTCTCTGCGAAGCTGAGGACGCACAGGGTTGAGGCCCTAGAACCAGAGAGGCACAGACTGTCCCAGGCGGTGACAGCCAGGGAAAGACCAGGCGGTGAAGGCGCGGCGGTGGGGGTGGGTCTGAGCCCGGTGCCAGCGGAAGGATCCAGCCGTGGCTCTTGCCAAACCCCTTGCGCGACAGCCCGGAGCTTGCTCACTGTGGAGAGCTGAGAGATGGTTTCCCGCCCCCTCCGCTGGCTCCTGACAGTGCATTTGTGGTGACCACAGCCACCAGCAACCCTCCCGCAGCCGGTAGCCACAGCCCCGGGATCTCCCTTTGACCCCTGCCCCACGCGTCTGCCCTTCTCTGGGGGACTGCGGTGAGCTCCCCAGGCCCCACCGTTGGCAGGGCCGCCCCCACGGCCTGCTCCAGGGAGGCGTCGCGCAGAGAGCACGGCTCCAGGGTCCTCCGGGGTCCTGCACCTGGGGAGGAGGGGCTGGCCGAGTGGCGGAGGTCTGGGAGCCCTCTGTGGTTTGATCTTCGGGAACTGCTGCCAGGGGCAGGGGTGATGAGGCCCAGCGACCGCAGGAGGGACCAGCCTCACCAGGTGACAAGCAGGGAACAAGAGCGCAGCCCCCAACACGGCATCTGATGGCATCTGCCAGGATTCTGGTCCCGAGCACCACGAAGCACCCTGACTTTGAACCTCAGAATTGCGGCCCTGGACAGGTTCGGACGTCGCCCGCGGGGGCGTCAATCATGAATGGCAAGGCTCCCGCCCACTCCTTGGGCCAACTGTGGATTGAGGGGCCTGGCAGGATGGCGGTGTCCTGACCTCGAACCCCAGAGTTGTGACCTTGAATGGTGGTGTTCCATAACAGCACAGCAGCGCACCAAGCTGCAGAATTCCAACCTGACACAGGATTCCAGTCCGGACCTCCAGGGCCGGGCACCTTGGTGTCCACTGATTGTCTCCAACACCCAAGGTCCCCGTTGGGAAGAGCTGCGCTGCCCTGACCCACGAGGCGCGAACACCGAAGTCCACGGGGAAGCCTCCGCAGTTCCTGCTGTGGGATAAGCCAGTTGCTCCGATGACGATGGAGATGGTAAAAAACAGCAGTGAATCCTGGCACGAGGGTGTGTGTGCCAGGAGCTTGGCTTTGTGCTCCACATCCCTGTCCCATGCAGTCCTCTGGACCACACCGGAGCTTGTCATTCCCAGTTCACAGCCTCGAATTCCCAGGCTCAGAGGCGGCCCAGTTTGCTGGCTCAACAGGCAGCCCTCCTCCGGCCACTGGGTCAGTGGCTGCCGCCCCTCATTGGCTGGTATGTTCCGGATTCACCTGAGAATTTCCCGACTTGCGACTTGCTTGACATCCACCAGGGCATGAGCCGCCTTGAGCTTGGGAGCCTCCTCCAGCTGGGTGGGATGTCACCTGTCCCAGCTGGGTGGGACCTGCACCCTGGGCTGTGCTGTGGCCAGGTGTAAGAAGAGGGCCAGGATGTGAGGACTGATTTTGTGTCAACCCGGCCGTGCCACAGGGCGTCCAGGTCCAACATCTCCAGGGTCTGTGAGTGTCTATGAGTCTTCTGGATGACGTTGGCCAGAAGGTTGCGCCGTCCCGTTGCTGTTGCGCCCCAGCAGCCGGGATGTGGGTGTCCTCCTGCCCCAGGATGGGGATTTCCACCCAGGGCGTCCCTGGGGGCTCAGACTTCAGGACTTGGACTGAATGACACCACCAGCTGCCCTGGGTTCCCACACCAGGGGACTTCTCAGCCCCCATAGTTCCTCACAATAAATCGCATGTGCATATCTCTCTTACTGCTTCTATGTCTCTGGTGAACTTTAACAGAGGACCTGATCTGACTCCCACACCCCATCCCCTCTCATCCCTCAGGTGGAAGGATTCAGAGGCAAGAAACCATCCCCCCTCCATTTCCAGTCTATTGCAGGGATCAAAACCAGAAGCCCCGGGGCCAGGCATGGTGGCACATGCCTGTAATCCCAGCAACCCGAGAGGCTGAGGCTGGAGGACCACGAGTTAAGAGGCCAGCCTCAGCAATTTAGCAAGACTGTGTCTCAAAATAAGAAGGGCTGGGGGCGGGGTGTAGCTCCGTGGTGAAGTGCTTGCCTCGCGTGCAGAAGGCCCTGGGTTTAATCCCAGCGCCACAGAAAGACAAAACAGTGAAGCCCCAAAGCCTGTATGTGGGGCCGGGCATGTCCCCCAAGAGTGTTTAATGTTTTAAAATTACTTCCCAACATTAAAAACTTGGGAGAGCTGACCACAGACCTGCTGCTCCCTGCTGCCCTCTGGGGCAGAGGCTGTGTGAACTGGCCCCCTGGGGCCTGCCGGGGCCTCCTGTCCTCCTGCTGGGTTAACAGAAGCCCCATGTGTGCCCCTCGGCAGGGACCTGCTTTTCCTTTGAGGGATTCTCTGGAGCCGAGGGGTCCTCCTGGCCATCCAGGGCAGGGCTGGCTCCAGGGCGCAGGCCCCCGCTGAGTAGGGAGCCCCTGGCTTGGGACTCTGTGTGGCCATCATCGACGCCCACTGATTTGTGACCAAGAGGCACGTTTTTCGTTGGCGTCCTGCAGATTCCGTCAGCTGGCCCTGCCGCTGGGGCCCTGGGGAAGTCGGCCCGGACCCCGCACACCCCATCCCAGGCCTGTCCCAGTCTGTGGTGGACACCCCTTGGGATGGGCCAATTCTCTCAGCAAGAGATCAGCAAGGGACTTTCTTACAAGGGGGACTTGGGGCAGCTTCCTGGAGGAGAGGAGAGAGAACAAGGGACTCCCCGGGGTACTGTGCATAGTTTCCTGGCCAGTGGAGAATGCGCCATTTGTCCCTCAAAGTGTGGGGGAGTGGGATGGCCAGGGGGGATGGCCATGGGGGAGGCCAAGGGAGCGTCTGGCCTGCAGCCATGCCTTGGTGCGTGAAGAGACCCAAGAGTCCCCGCCATGGAGGACATCAGTGGGGAAGGGGGCGGCGAGGTCTGGGGCAGACCTTGAGAAGGAAGGACCTGCAGGCACCTGGGCGCTGGGCCCGGCCTGTACCACCTGCCGCATGGGTGAGGACAGGGGAGGAAATGGGTCTCCCCTGATCTCGTGCCACAGCATCCCAATTGTGCACCCAGACCAGCCCTCTCCCACGCACCCCGGAAACCAGAGACACAGAGCTGCTTGGCCCTCCTTCCCTCCCTCTCTCACGTCCCTTGGAGTCCCCCTCCTCTGCACCAGGCCCCAGGTGACTTCAGAACACGGATCGGCACAGAGTTCCTGGACAGGGCTGGGAAATCGTGCATGTGAGGCTTTGGGCCTCACATCTGGAAGCAGCCGCGCACATTCCCATAAAACTGCCTCCCCGCCCCCACCCGCTGCAGGATCCAGACGCCAGTAGGGAACGGTCCTCTGAAATGTCCTGCTTCATGGGGGGAGATGACGCCAGCTCAGAAGAAAGCAGAATACAGGAGGGGGTGTGGACGGCACCGGGGAGGTGGACGGAGGCCTGCAGAGGAAAGCTCACTTCTGCAGTGTGGGGCAGAAGTCAAGTTCAGGTTCACGGCCAAGGCCTCCAACACGGCCCGAGGCCCTTTCTGACGGGGCCTGCTGCTCTCTATCAACACACCTTGCTTCTCCTCTGGTGTTCAGTGCCCACCTCCTTCTGGAGGCTGGAGCTCCAGGGCGACGTGGGTTACTTATTTACTTATCCCC